AATAACTTAAGTAAGATTATCAAAATCCTATAAAAGTTATCATTTTAATATTAGATTATTGAACATGTTTGTGATAAAATCTAATAAATATTGTATGAGTAAAGAAATTATTATTATAATTTATAAATTTGTCTTTGAGATTGTATTGTTAATAATATATTATTCATAAACTCATTTTTAATATTGTATTGCTAATAATATATTATTCACCTTTGATCTCATATTACTGATAATATGAATATTATAATTTCTATAACTTTGACTCTGAAATTTTGAAAATTCTTTTTAGTAGTTCAGATTATTGTATTTAAAAGAATATAACTATTATCAACCTTTAAGTAATTCTATCATTAGTACTTTTGGTACTTATTCATATTTAGTTTAATAATTACAAAATATTATTAATATTTTGAATTATTATTAAGACATTGAAAGTTTTCTTTGAATATTCTTAAATTTTATAAATACCTTTGAGTATTTTGAAAGTCAATCAATATGTAATTTATTATTTATTATTATTATAATTTATATAATTTATATAATTTATATAATTTGTATGATTTCTATAATTAGTATAAATTTATATTTTTTATAATTTTTATATAATTTATTTAATTTTATATAATTTATTATATTTTTATAATTTTTATATAATTTATTATATTTTTATAATTTTTATATAATTTATTATATTTAATTAAAATATTTAGTTTAATATAATTATATATAACAAAATTTATACTTAAAATTTATTATAAATAAAAAAATAATTAATATTTTAAAATTAATCAAAATATAACTAGCAAAAATAACTTGTTTTATAAAGTTATTATATTAAAATTAATAAAACTTAAAATCTAATTATATTTATTTATAATCAATATTTTGCATATAATTATTTTTATTATATTAATTTATTTAGCTTATTTTTAATTATATTACTAAGAATATAAAGTACACTTAGAATATATTTATATTAAGAAAATTCATAACATCTTTTAGTAGTAGTAGTAATAATAATAATAATAATAATAATAATAATAATATATTCATTAACTAACAAATTCATATTATGACTGAGTTTAGTTATTTTAATATAATATTATTTATATTAATTTAGTACAAATCTCTTAAAAATTCACTTATAACACTAATAATTATTCTTTAAACTAATCATATGTAAATACTTATTTAACTCTTGATAATATTATTTTGTTATAAATTTTGTGAACTCCTCCAGTATATTTATTAAAAAAAGTTCAAATATGTAAACTAATATAACTTAAACTATAAAAAGTAAAAAATGTAAAAGATACAGAGAACTAATATCAAAATCTGACTTAAAGTACTAATAAAAACTATTAAAAAGATAATTCTATATATCACTTTATTTCATATTTCAATTCTAATTTAGTCAAATAATAATATAATCTTTGAATAGAATTTTAAACAAGTTATATAATAATTATATAACAAGTAACTCAAAGATAATATCATATAATAATCAAAAATTTCCATTATGAGAATATGAATAATGAAATGAAAGTATAAAAAAATAATCTTCTTTAAATAATATATTTTTATTCAAATTAAATTAATAATTATATTTTAAAATTGCCAAATATTTTTTATTTTAGGAATTTTATAATTAAATTTATAGTTTTTAAAATTATAAAATACAAATTTTTATCTAATTATTTTTTATAAAAATATCTAAAGCAATATATATAATTATTAAAAAATAATTAAAAACAAGTTTTAGATAATTAATAATTTCTAATTAACTAATAATAATCTTGATAATTTAGTTTGTATATAATAAAAATAATTTTAATTTCTTTTTTTTATATTTTATATAATAAAATATATTATTATATTTTATATTTAAAGTTTATAAAATATATAAAAATAATAATAATATAGTCAAATATCTCTATAATCATTACTCTTAAAAAACAAAATTTAATAATTATAAAGAGAATATAGCATAATTTGCCATTTAAAATATCCTCCTATAATATTATATTCCTTATAAACTATATTTGATCTGATATATAATTTATAAAGTGAGTAAAATATAATATATTTCTCTTGTAATTCTGGTTAAATATTGACTAATTCTGGCTGAAACTATCATTTGTATATAGAATATTATAATATATTCTTATGCCATATAGCTAAACAATAAATTATGATACATAGAAAATTTTTTATTATATTTATATATAAATGGAAAAGCAAAATAAAGTGATTATAAAAAGATGTAATTATAAATGAATAACTATAGAAAGATTTGACTGTATATTTTTTTATATATTATTATAAAACATGAAACAAGAACATAAAATATTTCAATGCAAATTATATAATCAAGAGCATAATCACGTGTTTCGATTAGAAATATGGAAATCTTTCTTGATTTAATAAAATTTATATATTGTTTCGATATTAATTTTATTGACTAAAAGAGTTTAACACGTGATTTTGTTCACATGACTTTATCCCAATGGGTAAATCTTCGAGCATACATATCGATATTACTAAAATTCGAGTTATATCGATCTAAAGATATATGAATTTTTTCATGTCCCTGACGGGGCTGGAATCAGGGGCAGAATACATGATTTTTCATACCATACTATAATTAATTTCTCGTAATGACGTTATAAAGTTGTATTGTGACGTATATCGTATAGTAATATCAAATATAGTGTAATAATGCTAGAATTACATCTCTGAATCATACGAAATACGTCAGTAGTTGCCATGATCGTGACGTAATATAGGGTTGCAAATATTCATAAGTCGGATGCGAAAAAAAACCCAGACATTTATTTGCATATTTGTTTTAGCACGTCGCTGATTTATTTATTTCCATTTCTGAACATCAAAAGAGAATTTCTCTGAAAAGCCACAAATAAATTGTATGTGTAAAATTTTCTCTGAGAAGTAGCTTATTTCACAACGGTAAATTTACTTCATTTCCTTGCCAAATTAAGGTATCTGACTGGCATTAAGACCGCATTTCTGATTGGTTTTTTTGGATGGATGTGATTTGTGCGAATCGCATGTTGCGTTTCAAAAGCTTAAACCAGTTACCAATTAAAAAACCGGATATTTTTTAATATGCGCATATTCAAAATAGAATGTTTTTTTTCTCGTTTCCTTTTTGAATGCCTACATTCTCAAACGGAGAAAGAGCTTGAATGATTATAATGGCTCATTAATAATTTAATCTTAAACAAATCCAATCAACAAACCATAACTTTAAATGCGGTGTGCAACTTTTTTTATCGCGTGTTAGCAATAACAATATTACCATAAGTGAAAGCATTTAACACAATCTCCTTGAGTATGAAGAATAATAGGTTAAATAACAGGTTAAATAGCAAATTACAATGCCGAATAATGGTTAATCCGCGTTCCGAAACTCCGACATTCATATTTTCCCCGCTTACATTGTTTAATTTCTTTGGATTTGTTTCACAGTGATGCTCTTTAATGCCCTTTTATTTCCCATAAGCAATCCAATCGTTCGTCAGTTTACTTCACAGACAAGTGAATATTCGCCATACTCGACACAATCGCGAAACTATTTACCAATATTTCGAATAAATTGCGTCAAAATGAACGGATATCCTCACTGTAATATTATTATTAGCAGATTAAGATTACTACTATTAGCGTTAGTTAAAAATTCTTTACAGTAGCCAACGATGATGACGATAAATTTACCAACCATACTTAAAAAATGAGCTTGTTTATTTATTTGGATTTCTCAATGAAAAGAAAGCCAAAAAAAAAAAATAAAAAAAATTTCACCAATAATATTAGTAACAATAGTAACAATAATAAACACAACGACCGACCCGAACTCTGCCTTTCAGACGAATTAATTTAATGTACAATGACACCATCGGATATTAATAGTTAGTCTCTGTTATAAATAGTACTTGTTCGATGAGCTGATGATACTTCCATCAACATCAAAAAATCGAAATCGTGTCGTTTTTGTAATTTGCCAAGTATGAAATACTTCGTTTAATTTATTTATTTATCTTTGTGTTATCTGAACACATTATTGGCGGAGATGCACACGCAGTCTCTTTCAACAACAGTACGCCACGCAAAATAATACAGTAAAATTTCTTTCTTAATATCGAAAAAAAATGGTTATTATTTTTCTTATATTATTGTTCTTTTTTACACACACACAATCTTATGCACAAAACTACATAGACATTAAAAAAGATATTCACCCTCTCCTGTGCACACACATGGAGCCGATGACTCATTAATGAGTCAATATGAATATCGACAATGAATGTGTGAAAGAAAATTGAATGAATGCATGTTATCTATCTATGCATATATGTGCTCGTTATTGTAAACCAATTGATATTCACAATTAGTTGCGACATTAATAATCATTAACCGGTTAATTTCTAATACGTAGAAAAGAAAGAAAAAAGATGCCGCAGCAACAGCGCATTATTATTAAAGGTAACCCTGTTGTATTAATCATCACCACGCTCAATCAATGAAAACTACGCATTAAAAAAGAAACATGGGCCACACTTGAATACTATTTTATTTTGTTCATCATACATACGATGATCTCCCTTATCAAAAAATAGTTTTTTCCATTCTCCTTTTTTTCATAGAAAATTTAAAGTAGTAAAATATATTATATTTATATTTACTTAATAACTAGATTGAGGTTACTGAACTCCTCGCTTTTTATACACAATAAAGAACCACTAACGCTATATATGCTGTTATTGTAAACGTTTATTCTGATTTGCTACTACGCCAAACACGACAGGAAAAGTATAAATATACTCAACTCCCTTTTGTTACTTCTTCAAATTAAAAGAGAATTTCTTTTAGTTTATGTTTTCAACTAGTTAAAAATTAAATGATTATTGTTATTTATATTAAAAAACACAAACAAAAAAAAATCTAGCAGAGTTTTTTCTTTAATCAAATAATAATCAACAATGGACTTGGACTGGTGTCTCACTTGCTCCCAACATACTTCGGTAGGTGTTTAATTTTTTACTTTGATAATAAATAATAGAAAAAGTTATACTAACAATATTCTAATAATTTAATAGGGAACTCTCTACTGCTCTGAAAGCTGTCGTCTTCAAGACCTCGCGACAGCACCAGAAACATCGTTGTCATCTTCAACAACCACCGCTCCATCATACACACTGCACACAACTCCATTATTCTCGCTCCCAACGACAACTAGTGCTGCTAATCTCTTGAGTACAATAAACTCTAAATCCACGGAAACTATCAATAACAATAATAAACGATTTCCGAAAAAAAAGCCTTCGATAACTTCATGGTCGTCTGCTAATTTCAACGAAAAAAAATCCACGACGACCACTACCAATACTACCACCACTATAACTACAAGCAATGGTGGTAATAACAACAATAATGCTCCTTGGACCTCAAAATTCCAGCATCATCGTCGCAAGTATTATCGACCGGTTCAACGATTGTCTGTGATGATATAATTGGTTCAACATTTCATCACGTCAGTTATTTTTAGACAAGAATCAACGCATACACTTGCACTTCTTATAAAACAAGAATAGAATAATTAACTTATTATAATAATAGTAATAGTATTACTATATACTACTGATAAAATTTCCTTTTTATATTTTCTTTTTCTTCTATTTTTTTTCTTCTTTACAAATATCGTGAATGACAATTCATTATAAAAAAGACTTTTATTAGTTAGCTAAATATCCCCAAAAATGACATTCATAGTCGGTTCGTTCGTTCGATAGTCGATCGCGCTGAACTTTTGATTAATTACATACATAAATCACATACATATATATACATACATACATACATACATCATACTACATAGTTTCTCCATTAAAATATAAATTCACTTCCTGTAAATACTACTCCATCATCATCATCATCATCATCATCAACATCATCAACATCATCATCAACATCATCAACATCATCATGATCATTATCATCCATCTCATTTTTAATCATTAAAAAAAGCTCCTTTCTCCTTAACGTTAACCCTTCTTTTCTTTTTTTGTATTTGCCCTTCGAAATTCAGATTAATAATATATACACATAATAAATAAATGAAACGGTAATTTAACTATTTTGTATAGAACTATTTTCTTTTACTTATTTGTTTGACTGTTTAGGTTAGAATCAATTAACCCGAAGTTATATATGGATTGATTGTATCGTGCATATGTAGAACTCGCACAGCGCCAACTCTGCCACCGACCTGGTACTACTGATAATTGTCATTGGGCGGAAAAATTAACACGTATGGGCTGATTTGGCCCAATTTTGGTAATTTTCGGCTGAAGTTATATCAGTTGTAAAATCAATCCGTCTATATGCAAAATGCGAGAAAAAACATGAAAAAAACCCGTGGCAGAATTTCAACCACATTAACAATTAAGTAACTTACATTCCAACAGCAAGCCAGATTTGATGTTTGAATTATCAAAAAACATCTGATAAGGTTCGAAATTTTCACAATAAAAAATGGAAAGCATGCATGTATGTGTTGGCGTAATTCGGGATTTCAGAACCATTTTAGTAGCGGAATTTAATTTCGAAATTCCGCCCGATAACGATAATGATCATCGGTATTTTCTTTGAGGCACAAAGTGAAAAAAGGAGAATGCTTAATCATTGAGATCTGGAATTATAATGCGGTCCGAATTAATATTTTTAACATAAAATCGAACATAAAGGCCAGCTAAAAAACCTTTTTTCTCTGAACTGTGAAAATGCTTCGGAGTTAAACTACCCCCAGAGTTAAGCACCCCAAAAACAGTATCGGTTTTGATTTTTCTCCGATGACATTAAGACAATTAAATTATTCTTATCTAAATTTGTTCGTCGATATCTTCATAAATAGCATTATCTTCTGATCCATCTAAAGCTAATTTCGGTATACATATATTTCTATTTCTTTTATGAAATCAGCTTGTTAGATGAAATCATAACGCATTCATGGAATCTCGGAAAATAAAAATTGCTCGGAGAATATTTCGAAAATAAAATGTAGATGAAAGATTCTTCAACTTTAACTCGCTATAATTATTTTTGCTTGGTTATTGTTAATGATTTGGGCTAAATCCTAAATTTAATTTCTAAATTCCGAAACTAATCCGATATATCCGATATTATCCGATATTAGTTGTATTATGTGATTTATTATACATTACTTATACGTGTAGTTTAGTCATGAAAGTTTGCTGAAATTCAATATCCTTTGATAATCATGTTTTCACCAAACACATTGGATCTATATTTTGTATTTGACCAGCTAATAGAAATTGATGGAAATGACAAAAAGAAAGATAGAACTTTTTCACAAGTAATTGATATAATGAAATCATTTTTTTATTAGTAATATAACCTTTTAAATTATGTTTGACATGGAGCAAGAAACAGATTTCTTTACATATAATTTAATAGAAAAAATCACAAAAAATAATAAATTATAACTTATAATAGAAAAAATATATATTAGACAAAAATAACAAATTTTAAAAGAATATTATTACAATTATATTATAAAAATCATTAATTTTATAATTTGTAACAAATTATAAAATCATGTGAAGAATTTATAACATTTCTTTAATTATCTCATATATTATTAATTATTATATTTATTTATTTTTCTATCTATTTTTCTATTTGTTCTACTTTTATTTTTATATTTTTTACTTTTTATATCATTAACTTATTTCATTATTATTTATTTTTCTATTTATCTATTTATTTTTTTCTACTTTTCTACTTTCTATTTTTTATTTATTCAGTCAGTTATTTCAATAAATATATTTTAGCCAATTATAAATTTCTAAGTACATATTTATTTATTTATTTTTTCT